GACAACAGCAGCAATAGCAGTGACAGCCGTAGTGGCATCGGTGGTGGCAGTGGTGGCAGTGCTTCTGAACAGCAGCAAGCAGAGGCAGCTGCAGATAAGACTCCGTCCAAGCAGGAGGAGCTAGCACATGCAGAGTTGGGCCAATGCAGACAAGAGCAACCTGCTGTAGCTGCAGCTGCACCATCCTCAGAGCAGCAATGCAGCTCGTGCCCAGCCTCCCACTATAGCTGTGATTCATCCAAGCTAGCCTTTAAGCTTCGCGCCTGGTATGTGTGTTTGAAGCTATGTATGTGCTGCAGATGTTGCTGTAACCATCTAAGATTTTATATGCCGCTACACGCCTAACCCACGTTGCACGTATCAACGTACCTGTGTACCAGAGAGCACAGGTACTCAGGGACAAGAAACATGCCATCGGCCGGTCAGGTCTCAGCCTTCCTTGGATACAGGCCATGGAAAAGGTTAAGAATCTGCAAGGTCGGTGTATGCAAGCTTGTATTTTCCCAAAATGTTGACCCAATGGCATCACACTATATGCATGTCTTGCATTTTTTTGCAAACAGATGAAGCAGCCTGGGGCATGGAGGGTGCAAAGTACCTGCAGCAGTGCCTTACAGAGCAGCTGGTGGCTGCCTGGGGCCCCAGGCAGCCCCCAGACACCCCCGGGGGTGTCTGCACAGGATCTGGATCATGCCAAGGTAGGCTCGCTGGTTACATAGGTTAATGATACAGTGCTAGCAGGTTTAGCAGTGATAATTTAGCTAGTTGTTGACTATGCTATGCATGTGAACTTCACACTTGTAGGTTGTCATCAGGCGTATGGGATGTCTTTACTACGCCCCACTTCACACCGTCACTTACATCCGTGGTGGCGGCCTGGCTAAGTCCCTTTTCAAGACCCAGGCATGCCCAGTGTGCGACATTTCAATCCTGACAAGGACACCGCAGGGGCTATGGTGTGTGGGACGGACGGGTAGGCAAATGGAGTTTGGTTTCGCATTCGTTGTGTGTATGTACTTCAGTTCTCTGGAGTTTGCTCATATGGGCATGGCCCTTGTGTGCAGGTGCAGCTACTGCTCAGCGTACTCTACAAAGACAAGGTAGCAGATGTGGTGTATGTTAAGTGGTTTGATGCTCCAGAAGATGAATGGAACCGTGAACTGAATCTCCGTCCGCTGCGATGGCAGAGGTAATAAAAGTAGTTTACACACAGTCGTAATTTCAGTTGTATACCTCCCTCTCTTGCACTAACACTAACCATTGATTGTCCACACAACCTCACTTCCAGGGTGACTGGAAAACCAGCAGCAGCTTATGGGTGTATCCCATTTGAGACCATTATCGAGAGAGTGTGCATTGTTCGGATCTCCCAAGTTAAAGTCAAACGTACACGTGGTTCCTCCAGCAGAAGCATGGATGATGTGGAAGAGTCCATGGGCAATCCAGTTCCCACAGCACAATTTGTGCTCAACGAGCTCAATGGCGGCCCACCCCATGGCCTTTTGCCAGTCGTGTTGGAGGATATTGCTGAAGAAGTCAGGCAGCAGTCTCAAGAGAGTGAAAAGCGAAGCTTGCGCCCATCAGAAGTGCGGGCACTATTGGACAAGCTTATGGCCATCGAGGAATGGGAGCAATGGGAGTCTGGTTGCGTGTGGTCAAAAGATGATGACACAGATGAAGTTTCATCAGACGAGGCGTAGCAAAGACGTCCTGGATAATAACGACCGGGTAGAGGAGGATTGATCAATTGGGGCTCATGGGAGTAGGAAATGACTGTTTGCGTTGTGCTGATAGTGTCGGAGAATTTATTCTGTTAAGTGTTTTGGTTGTGTTTTGGAGTTGCAGCATTAATAGGCCAGATAACATGTGGATTATTCATTTAGTAAAGCAGACTGAGGGATTGTGGGCTGAGAGCTGAGATTCCTTGTGTGATGTGTGATAGTAACGTATGAAGAGTATGTGAAAATTGTAATCCCCTGAGCTTCTATGCATCCCATATATTTCTGTACACAAATGACACATGTAAACAACATCCTGGCAAGTATACAGCATAGCCTAAACAAGGTCAGGTATAGGCTGTCATGTAAACATGAAGGCCTATTATGTGATGCCTATAGCAGTCTTGTAATAGGCACTCGTGTACACACGCACCTGTATAGGCACTGTTGTTTACAACATCACATGTAGACACATCTGTATACCAGTCATGTTTACCACATAGCCTAAACAAGGTCAGGTATAGGCTGTCATGTAAAGGCCATTGCATATTACGTGATGCCTATAGCGGTCTTGTAATAGGCACTCATGTACACACGCAGCTGTATAGGCACTGTTGTTTACAACATCACCTGTAGACGCATGCATATACCTGGCAAGTATACACCACAGCCTAAACAAGGTCAGGTATAGGCTGTCATGTAAAGGCCATTGCATATTACGTGATGCCTATAGCGGTCTTGTAATAGGCGCTCATGTACACACGCACCTGTATAGGCACTGTTGTTTACAACATCACGTGTACACATATCTGTATAGCTTGGAAGTATACCGCATAGCATAAAGAAGGTCAGGTATTCTACATATATACAGGGTCCTCTATTAGGCAAACATGTACATATGTCCCTCTTTAGGTCTGGGCCTTTATTTCTCGTATAATACGTGTACACCTAACTGGCCTATATACCTTTCACCTATTTTCCCGAATATCTCGCCTATACAATGCCCGAAAAAATACAGACGTACGTCTCTGTGCACCTGCGTGCGTGTCACGACTTTTGTTGTCAAGCTGCCTATGTTTCGTTGTCAAGGACTTGGTCTTCTTTGGGAGTTATTGATCACACCTGCGTGCGTTTATCTTTGCCCGTCTTTCACGCCAGGGAGTATTGCAGTCGTTTCAAGCCCGGCACAGGCCTTTTTCTTCCGTTTATTAGGGACTTTTCTACGGTTGTTTTCTGTTTCCTCCCTTTGGAAGGGGGATCATCTCTTGCTGGCGTTAATAGACGATCCGGCAGGTTAAGCAGCTGCTTTTCTATCAGAGGCCGCGGCTCATTTCTTGCCGTTCGATTACGAGGGTGCATTTTTGCGCTTATTTCGTTCTTGTGGCGAGGCGGCTCGCCAACCGGTAGAGAAGGACGTCCATAGCTATGACCTAGCGGTTGTCTCGCACCTCCGCTTTCCTCGGTTCAAAAACACGCCAACACACGATCAGGCTCTCCTCTGTAGCAACCTCTTCTCTCCAGTTTCGTCTTGCTTACACAGTTTGTCTCTCTTCGCCTTGCTCCGCAGTCGCATAAGTGACAGCACAACCTCAACTACGTCATGGCCGACGCTGATGTGGACGCTTTCCTCAGCCTGATCGCACTGCACTGGCCGACCAGGATTGGTGGGCCAGGACCACCACTGACTCTTTGTTCACGGAGTCATGATGTTGGGCCGGGCTGTGGACCTGTTCCTGCCGGGCTCCAATGGCAACGCGGCCCCAAAAGGTGCAGCAGCATGGGCAACCCTGGCGCTCCTCATTGATTTCTCCGGCCCCAGCAAAGCACGCATCCGTGTCCCTGCTGATCTGGTCACCCGCCACCCGCAGATCTAGCCGCACGGGCAGGGGCCTTGTTGGGGCACCTGAAGGACTGCATCACCACAGACCTCCAAGCGCTTGCCGCGCAGTTGGTGCAGGAGGCACCAGAATCACTGGCGGCAGGACCACCAAGGAGTACGCTGCCACATGGCGCCAGTTCTTCAGCTGGTGGGAGGCACACAATTTTCCGGGAGACATCTACTCCACCCCGGGGGAGCTGGTAGCCCTCTACGTGCTGGCCTTACTAAACAAGTCCAAGGCAAACGGTGTTGGGCCTGGCCGCGTTCGCCTCCCAAACGTGGCCATAAGCACTTATTTCCGCATGGCAGGAAAGGCAGCCCCCACAGAACACACAGCCTGCAGCATAGTCCGCACTTTAGCGGAAAAGCGGCTCCATAGTCGACCGCTGCAGTGTGATGCCTTGGAGCCGGAAGACATTGCAGCGCTGGCTCGCCTAGTGTAGGGCCCCAAGGCGCGTCTAGACTACCTGATGATGGTGGCTGCGGTGGCTATCATGTTTGCCGGCTTCTTCCGGTTCAATGCTGCTGCTTGAATTTGCGTGCATGAGGACTTGCTGTTGATTTCTGCATCCCACATGGAAATTTTCATTCCTGGTAAATTTACCTTTAAAGGAGCACTATTTAGAGCTGTATTCTAGTCACGTCAGGTCATCAATAAAGACTGTAATCCTTAACTGCGGTAGGCGGTGGCGGGCTTTCTGGAGGTGGTAGCCAGATGGTGCCCGTGAATTTTAGGGGATGACGACGACCACCGGTAGCTGTTCAAGATAATTTCAGATAACTTCAAGATCATTTCATTTATTTAATGAAATACAGGAGCAAAAGAAATACAACACAGTATATATCTACCAGGGCACTATGTAGTAGCTAGCTGGCCACTGAAAAGGGCTCTCGAGCTAGCTGTTGGTTAAGTGCTTCACCTGCATTTGTAGTCGATATGTGTGCCGTACTGTGTACCAGCTAGTACATATATGTATACCGTATATGACGACGTTATATCACGACTTTTTCAGAAAAGTATCGATTGCTGGATGCAGAACCCGTGATATGCACAGACTATGATAACTATCCCTCCTCCAGCTTCAGGTGGCGTCCTCAACCCAGGTCAATCTCAGGGTCCGGACCCTGGATCCCCAGGGACCCATAGGTGCACCTATGACACGTGGTGTCAGCACGTGCACCCATAGGACAACCAGAGGTCACTGGGCCTGCCAGCTCCCGCCAGACCTCATCAGACAGGATTTGAACCTGCAGCTGGATTCGACACAGCTGCTTCGAAGTCAGAACTAGGATACCTGCTCGGTAACAAATGTTTTCTCCAGACTTTTTAGAAAAAACCGATGGGGGGAAGCAAATTCCGTGATCTGCAAAAACAAAACCTGGGCATATACTCCAAACACTACAGATGTCTGAAGATTTATGTAGTGTAAATGCTATCAGGCCTGTCTGGTGGTGGTGGTGTTGTGGCATACTTGCATATTTACCTTAGGAATTTCCCCGAGACTCTGGCACTTCGCCACTTGGCATTATCTTCACTCTTACTTGGTTAACCATTGGGCACTTGCCTATCTTTTATCACGCGTGATAATGGGTTATAGCGCTCTTGCTACAACCGTGACACTTGTCACTGCTAGACCCACTTGGGTTACGACTGACGACTATATTCTCGGATCATACAGATTGCTGTACAATTCATCCTTAACGCAGAGGCATTTAGCCTCCATCCATTCACTAATCGGTAGTTTTCACTACCACAGTGGAAGTGGATACAACACGTGGCGTCTTTGCACCACGGAGTGTGGGGTTAGGAGTCTTAGCTGCAGGGCCGGGATCACCGGAGCTGCAGCGCCGGATCGTTAAGCCCTTCACGAATATATTTTGTAGTCAATATGTAAGAAGGGATCAGCTCACCTGGCATCCCCCTGAGTACAGGGCACTCCCCTGTACTCAGGGGGATGCCAGGGGAGCTGATCCCTTCTTACACATTGCAGTACTGTACCAAGTACAACACATTTGGTACCTATACGTCTGTAAATTTACAGACAGCGTTGTCTTCAAATTTTAAAGTTAACTTTAAAATTGTGGAGTGGCAAATGCTTTCAGGCCGGTCTATTATACCATGGCACACGTCTAGACCATGCCATGCACAATATATCTACTGTGCCATCTATATACCAATCGATACAATAATTCTACCAAAAATCCATTCCTCGGTCCTTTTTGATATATGATTACCCTATATGTAGACCATGAAACATTTACCGATGCGTTTGGTGATACAGATTACAGGTGCTAACCCAAGCATTTCATGTGCACACGCACCTGGAATTTTTGTATAAAAACAAATTGAAGTAACAGTTCTTAATGGGGCCACAGAGGACTTCATCCAGCCGTTGGCATTGAAGCCTAGACATGCTGGCAACTTTGCACAGTCGGTAGCAGCTGCTGCAGCGGAACCAGAGTTGCTGAGGTCATCCTTATCGTGGTCGGTATCCGGAAGTGCAATGTAGCCATAAAAACTTGGACATGCTGTGGAATCAGGAAAGGGAAGTGCCAAACATTGTGTATGACTCATTAAGCTACCAAAAGGCATTGATGCTGGGAGTTTCTGCAAGGTGCAATAAGTTGTACTTATGCATGAACTACTTACCTTGCAATGTACACATCCACACTTGCTATTTAAATTTATTTACTATTCTGGCCCTGTTCACTGCTGTAGCGGGAACAGGAACAGGAAAGGGCCTGCACAAGCTACGTCATATGCATGTCACACTGCGGCACTACTTGGAAACATATTTATTCTGTTACTTAAAAGCTTTTGAGTAGCACTCTTAAGAGTGCCAGCATATAACACGTTCTCCTGGTGCTGCTCAACACAACTTTAGTAAGTACACACATTATTAGTTCAGTCTGAGTGCTGGGGTGCATGGTCCTGGACGTTCGCTACAGTGAAGGTTGTTGGAACATGTAATATCTGGTGATAACAGCGCCTAACCAGGTGCCGGTGAGAGTTTGTTAACCTAAACGCAGATGCAGCTAACCACCATATGAGCACTGTTTAGACATGTTGCAGGCTGACCATCCAAGAGAGGCCTTTTTGCAACACAGCTGACATTTGTCACCCAGTATTGCCACGTGCTGATGAATGTGGTTCGTCCATGTCTATCTTTAAACGACCTCAAGCAATGGAAAATGGAACCAAGAAACCGTAACAGGCTGTCATCTGGTGTAGATAATTATCTTTATAAAGGCCTCTCGAGATGCTGGACTGGTCGAATGCTTTGTGTGTATTTGTAGATTATATGCGTGCTGTACTGTGTACAAAATACTACATGTATAAATGTATACATTTGGTGAAAGTAAGACGTACTAATCTTGTCTGTATATCCTGCCAGGATATCACTTAACCAGTATTTTTTCATTTTAGCCTGTCAATTTTCCAGTCCGACCGGAGGAATAGGTTTTTTGTCACGGGAATAAATGTGTTCCGAATCTGTAAGGTGCTGGGGGGGCCTACACGGCCCCCAGGCCTAGGGGCCCTCCGATGAGTTATAGTTTAGTTCGTACAAACACAGGGTTCGGGGAATGCCACAACGCGCCCACACCACAATCTCTCCATAGATGTGTCTCTTGCACGCCAGGAAGCGGGGCGCACACTTGGACGCTTTGACAGGAACCCCGATTGCATGGGTGACTGCTCTTGCAGAGCCCAACCAAACACAGACCAGTTAACCCCTACTCAAGCAATGATCGAATAGAGTTCTTCACTATCGTTCGTTTTGCATCACATTGAAAGATAACACGGCACGACTTTCCAGATTGCAACAGTCATGATGCATAGCAGCAATGAACCAGAACCGCCAAACGCAATCTCTGCGGTTGGTTGCAGCCCCTGCTGTTGATGCTGCACACTAGTTAGCAGTTCATCATGTACCGGCCCCTGCTGCTGGCGGCCTTCCACTTCTCCAATGCCGCCTCAAAGGGGAACACATCCTCACATCCGCCGTAATGCACTGCACCCATGTAAACATAGCTCCGAAGTACAGCTGCCACTTGAGGGGATGATTGTCCTTCTTCTCCAGCCATGCACCGTCACTCTGCCCCTTCACGACCCGCTGCATCTGTGGTCGTGGCGTCTTTGCACCACGGAGTGTGGGGTTAGGAGTCTTAGCTGCAGTGCCGGGATCGCTGCTGCCATCGACCTCAACACCCGTGTTTCCTGGCCCATCGCGGCTGTCTCCATATGAAGAACGTTGGCGTTTGGCCTGCTCGCTGTTGACAATCGGAGTGGCATCATTGCCGTCGGCTGGCTGCAGCATTGCGTCCACATTGCCTACAACCTCTACACCATCTTCATTAATGTCGCTAATGGCTTCAGTGAAGTTTAATATCTGCTTTAATGGCCTGCCACGCTTTGGGAGCTTCGGGTCCGAATATTTTAAAGTGTTTGGTCCGGTCAGAAACAGTCCGATTCCTTGTTGACTTTCGGGCGTGACCTTCCCTACAGTATCCATGGCATTAAAGTACTAAGATATATCATACATGTTAACCATATATATGTTTAACAAGTATGTCTCCTGTAAGATTAATCTTCTAGGGGCTATAAGGATATTCTAGCGGCTTTGGCATGGACAGTACTGTCCATTTTCCAGGACTAGTCCTGGACTAGTCTATTTTTGGCTGGAGGAATGAACTTGTACGATCGGAACATATGCATTATCTATGCTTAATTTTCAGGACCGCGAACAATTTGTATTCCGATTTCGGATATATTCCGCAAAACAAACGCTGCACAGTTAACAGTGATAAGCGATGCTGCGGTGGCCTGCATGTGTGCAGTTCTATCACCAGCTGCAGCTCTACCAGGACACGGGTCCTGTCCTGGTGAAGTAGCACTATTTAAGAGCTGTATTCCAGTCAGGTCAGGTCATCACCGAAGACTTACCTGCAGTAGGCGGTACGGGTGGCGGGCTTTCTGGAGATGGTGGCCAAATGGTGCCTGCGAATCAAAGGGGTTGACAACGACCGCTGGTGACTGTCCAAGATAATTCATGAAATGCAGCAGCAAAAGAAATACAACACAGTATATATCTACCAGGGCACTATGTAGTAGCTAGCTGGCCGCTGGCCCCTGGCCGCTGGAAAGGCCTCTCCAGATGTTATAACATATTGGTTAAGCCCTTCACGCATATAATTTGGTAGTCAATATGTGTGCAGTACTGTACCAGGTACAACACATTTGGTACCTATACGTCTGTAAGTTTACAGACTTTAAGATTGTGGAGTGGCAAATGCTTTCAGGCCGGTCTATTATACCATGGCACGCGTCTATTGTGCCATCTATATACCAATCGATACAATAATTCTACCAAAAATCCATTCCTCGGTCCTTTTTGATATATGATTACCCTATATGTAGACCATGAAACATTTACCGATGCGT